ATGGTCAGCATGCTCGCCTTGCAAGCGAGTGGACCCGGGTTTCATCCCCGAGCAGGATGAAACTATGGGCAAGTTTCTTTACGCCATTTGTCTCTGTCTACCCAGCAGTAATTGGGAACCTGGATGTTAAGTGATTTGTGGATCGTATTCCAGGGTAATGGTTAGCCAGTGCAGTTGGCGAGTTGTCCGGTCTTCTCAGACTATTCCTTAACACTGGGTCATGCAGCTCGTTAACTCAGGGTGTGGTTGTTGTGTTGGCGACAGCTTCTACACCTTAAACAAATTCATGCTTAGGTGGCCCTTGGGCCGGTCATCCTCGTTACACAAAGGGCAACCATTATTATTACTTTTTTTTTTTTTTTTTTTTAGTTTATTGGGCACCCCTCTACATCCTGTGCAAGGTGAAGCGCAGAAGCGCTTACAGCGCCCATCTGGGAAGCATGCTAAGTTCATGCTTGCCTTTATGTCTCGTGAGTTAAGGGCGTAGAAGCCTGAAGGGTCATAGGTTTTTTGTCAAGGGCGTAGAAGCCTTAAGAGTCATAGGTTTTTGTCAGCAAGTTATTGAAAGCTCCAACAACTTTCTCTGAATACGAATTCACAACTTTTCGATTTACAACAGGTACCTACTTTACTACTCGGTGAACAGGGACCAAAGGAGGCGAGGAAGTGTTGTAGTGGATTTCTCCCCTACAAAGGCTGTTTGTCGTTGAGTAGCTGACCCTGCGAATTCCCCAGTGTATGCCTCGTGGTCTAGGTCAACCAGCGCCGCCTTACATGACGGAGGTCAACTACTAAGCCACACCTACCTCCGCTATTTAAGACCTGACCTCGTGGTGACCGCCCTCTTTCTACCTACACCAACCAACAAGCAACACCTCCTCCTCCTCCTACTGCCTGGCGGCCCTCGCTCCCGCCAGTGAGCATGGTGACCCACAAGCTGGTCCTCCTCTGAGCATCCTCACCAACCAGCTCTCTCTACTCAACGCTTGTAACCATGCTGCCTTCCCAGCACCAAGCTGCACTGTACATCCAATACAGTATGTATACAGAGAGCACATTGCGAGTTTCCTTTCTCCATCTCGTATCCCACAGTGTGTCCAAACAACTTTCCACCGGTCCGGGAATTGAACCCGTGACATCTTGCTTGCGAGGCAAGAGCGGTACTGCTCTACCACCGGCGCCACATTATTATTATTATTGTTATTATAATTATTATACACACAAAACACATACAAATAAATAATAATGGGAAATACTCTCACAAATAATCAGAAACGAGTTTATTAAAAATGTGACAGTCTACTGTAGGGGTATCGAGATATTAAAGTTGTCTAGCACTCAGGATGGAAGGAAACTCTAATGTGGTTTTCTTATATAATATATATAAGTTATATGATAGACAGTCTGGTGCTGGAGGTGCTGTGTGGTGAGGGGCTGCTTGGTAGAGACGTGCGGTGAGTAGCTTGTTGAAGGAGGTAGATGTGCAGGAGCTTCGTTAGAGAAGGTGTTGCCTGTTGCTGGCCTCCTGGTTGAATGAAATGTTAACAGCGTGGAGCTTGCTGGAAGAGGTGTTGCGTGTTCAGGAAGATGGGCCAGAATGAGAGTTGGTTGGTGAGGAAGCTCAGAGAAGGACATGCTCGCTGGCGGGAGCGAGGACCGCCAGGCAGGAGAGGAGATGCGAGGGGCAGCCAGGCAGCGGCGGAGGAGGAGGTGTTGCTAGTTCAAGAAGAATGGTCTGACTGAATCTCAATGGAGAGACAGAGCTTATATACACCCAGCAGCGGCTATGAGTCATGGTGGGAAAACCCGAGAAGTAGCCGGTGAATAGTTTCGTTGCTAAGATACGGCGGGCATTGGAATGCGGATACGCTTGGTTGCTAGGGAAGGCGGCACATTGGAATGTGATGGCAGGTGGTGGGCTGCTACGCAGTTAGTTTGTAGGGGAGACATCCACTACAATACTCCCCCTCCCCTCCAGGCGGTGTAGGAGACTTGTTGTTTGTAGAGTTGCTTAGCACATGTGAGGAAGACCGGGCGGTGCATGCCTCATGTGAGACAACGGCGATGGCGTGATGAGCCGATCGCTGAAATACAACTGTCTAGATACACACGATCTGTGGGAGAAGGGAGAAAAAGGGTGTGTGGAGGCGATGAATGTTCTTCCCTCACGACAGGTACAGGGTCGTCAGATGCGCCTGCTGGGGTGTGTGTGGGCCTGGATCAGGAGCAGGGGCTGGGTCAGCAGAAGCGGATTAGGGCTCGTGACAGCAGCTGGGTTCACGACAGCAGCAGGGTGCAGGACATTAGCAGGGAGTACCTGAGGGAGAAAAAGAGGGGGTGTGGAGGCGATGGATGTTGTGTGCTTCCCTCACGGCAGGTACTGCTGGGCCGGGGTCGGCGTCTGAGGCAGGACGGGTGTGCTGGGGTCGTCAGAATGTGGTGCGTGGGGCAGGAAGAAGAGCCGGTGTCTGCTTGAAGAGTGGGAGCGTGATCAGTGTCTCCTCCATCCTGTGTGAGTGCTAATCTCCGGGAGTCACCATTGTAGGGGTATCGAGATATTAAAGTTGTCTAGCACTCAGGATGGAAGGAAACTCTAATGTGGTTTTCTTATATAATATATATAAGTTATATGATAGACAGTCTGGTGCTGGAGGTGCTGTGTGGTGAGGGGCTGCTTGGTAGAGACGTGCGGTGAGTAGCTTGTTGAAGGAGGTAGATGTGCAGGAGCTTCGTTAGAGAAGGTGTTGCCTGTTGCTGGCCTCCTGGTTGAATGAAATGTTAACAGCGTGGAGCTTGCTGGAGGAGGTGTTGCGTGTTCAGGAAGATGGGCCAGAATGAGAGTTGGTTGGTGAGGAAGCTCAGAGAAGGACATGCTCGCTGGCGGGAGCGAGGACCGCCAGGCAGGAGAGGAGATGCGAGGGGCAGCCAGGCAGCGGCGGAGGAGGAGGTGTTGCTAGTTCAAGAAGAATGGTCTGACTGAATCTCAATGGAGAGACAGAGCTTATATACACCCAGCAGCGGCTATGAGTCATGGTGGGAAAACCCGAGAAGTAGCCGGTGAATAGTTTCGTTGCTAAGATACGGCGGGCATTGGAATGCGGATACGCTTGGTTGCTAGGGAAGGCGGCACATTGGAATGTGATGGCAGGTGGTGGGCTGCTACGCAGTTAGTTTGTAGGGGAGACATCCACTACACTACTCTCAAGTCCGTGCTTTATTAATAAAGTAATAAAGCATGGACTTGAGGGTATACTCACATTTTTTTTAATTTGTTTCTCATTGTACATATGTATTGTATTGTACAGTATGTATGTGTGTTGTGTAGACACACACACACACACAAAACACAAACAGTGGTCCCTCGGTTAACAAGCGCCTCGGTTAACGAGATTTCGGTTAACAAGTTACCTTCCATAAGATTCTTAACTTCGGTTAACGAGCAATCCCTCGATTAACGAGTTCCTTACGAGCCGACCTCAACATGTCGCTTGCATTTGGCGGTCCACCAGCTGTAGTATTAGTCCGCCAATAAAGTAATCGGTTCTAGGGCTTAAATTCCTTACAATTTTAGTAAATATCAAGAAGTTTGTACTATTCAATAATTTTAAAAGTTTAATATTAAATTTTTTAGTCATTTTAACAATTATTGAACATAACTGAAGGTAAGGAAACTAGTTTTATGCGCGCCATCCAGCCTGTCAACACACCAAACAGGCACCATTCTCTCTGTCTTTTCAGTGGAGGTAACATCTTGCTTGAGACTCTCTTCAACTAAACTCTTTTTTTCTGTGTTTCCAAGCAAATTTTTGGTCATTTTGAAATTTATTTTACATATTGACAATATATAATGCAGTGCAGTGTTGATTTAAAGAAAATAATCTTGAATTACACAGAGAGAACTAAAATTTTATGGGTGAAATGGCACCATGGGGTGACTTCTCTTCCACCCCAATGCCTTCTCTTCTCCCTTATCCTCCACCCCCATTCTAATTCATCATCATCATCCAGGAGCCTTCTACATACACACCTCAAAGTAAGTGTACTTTTCAACCTTTTATGTTGAATTTAGGCAATTTTTGGTGAGCAGAACTCACTGTACCACAATCAATCAATCAATTCTTTATTTCTAAGTCACACTGTTTATATATAGTGGAGTAAGTGTTAAAGAAGTCCATTTTTCTGAGACACGAATTTGCACTATGTAGCACTATGCACTGGAGGATTTATTGGTGGATCCTAAGAATGAGTTTCAACTAACCGGAAAAGCTCTTTATTCGGAACCTTTCAATCCCCATAGGTACCAGATAACTGGGATTCTACTGTATCTTTTATAACTTCTTGCCAAAAATGAGCAAGTGGTACTTAATTCCTAATTTGGCCAGATTTAGATGGTTTTGGATCACTACAACCTTAGAAAATACCTAAGAACTTTTATATCCTTGAACTTGTGACTAATGGACTGCCACATGGAATATGCAGTCTTTCTGATGTACAATCAAAGACAAAAGTCGTGTCACGGTTTTGTCCGGAGATTAAATATAAGTTGTGAAACATTATGAGAGCCCCCTACCACAAGGCAGAGCGCACCAAAAGTTTAGCCTTTCGGCATATGTTTTTGCCAAATTTCACGACATGAATTTTGTCTTCCATTGTACACTCATCAGGATATCAAGTCAATCTTAACCATGAGCATGCAGTTTACACATTAAAAGGGTCAGAGACCAGAAATAATGAGGAAAAGTTTCAAGTAAAATGTTACATTCCTATTGCAATAAAGTACAATATTCTTACAATAATTTTTGTTCTTGTATATTACCTGCTACTTCTGTCACCTTTAGTATCTACCTCATTAACTGAAAAGTCATGTATATTTACCCTAATCTCAAATTTCCTTCATAGAAAGGAATTATGAAAGCATAACCTATGAACTGATATATATATATGACATTAATTTATGTATATATACAGGGTATGCTGGTTTGTAAGGATAAAAAAAAAAGTTATAATCAATTTTTATTGAGAACATGTGAACTACAATAATAATACACTGGCACAAGGGCAATACTTATACACTCCCACCTACAGAGTACCAGTAAGTGGTTTACCTTTACCTGGGTACTTGAAAATGCCTCAAGATTTCATGAACTGCATTCAAGTCATAAAAATTAAATGTAGTATAATTTTATTAAAAATGAAGACCAAATTTGTACTTAAAAATGGTCCCTTGTGTCTTCAATTGAATGCAAAATATACTGTAATATACTAAATCAAGAATTTTTTAAGCTTTAATTAGTGATGATAAAAATATTATTCTCATCCTTCCTCTTCCCCCATGATTAATGACAATTATTTCTCATTACAAGTTACAGAGACATATCAATGAACATTTCTTCGATACCAAAATCTTGCTCGATAGTCATCAGAACAGGTGATGAATGCTGGTGAACACGGAGAATGAACCATGTGTCTCACTGGTCCATTATGACCTACAAAGCAAAACAAATCTATTAGCTCACAGTCAATACTAATGTACACTCGCACCAAAAAGCATCGACGAGTTCCAAAACGATACGTATACACAGTGATATGTCGAGAAGGTTGGTAAGTGTATCCTCATAACCTCCCCCCCTCCACTAAGCGTTGCCATATGGCTGACAATCAGGGCTGCCAACATACGGCTAGAACAACTAAAACTGTTCACACTACAGTATGTACCGATACTTTTTGTTGCGAGTGTACCTACATCTATCAAATTCATTCCTATATACCATGGGCTGTAACACATAGAGTATGACCAGAGCCGGTTCTAGCTTCTGATGGGCTTTGTGCAAGATAATGGTTGGGCCCCAATGCTTAGACAACCCTCCCAGGGCTTCCCTCACATCGTGCCCAGTCCCTCACCCACATTTATTCCTCATTTTCTATGAGAACATCATCTTGTTACTGTTATACAAACATATGTGCAAATATATACAGGAAGGTAAATCAGTATCAGTTCCCAGGTTTTTTAGACAGTGACTGCCAAAGCCCAGACTTACTGGTGCCAGATGGCTGAAATGCACTCGTCTGCAGTTTTGAGATGCACACACCACATGACACAACATAATTGAAATATGAATCCTACTAACAACAAATATATTATATTCAGGAGGGGGCCCTGAGTATGATCCCCTCAGTCAGACTTCCATAAGTTAAAAACTCCCATTAGTTGGACTAGGGTCTGTGGATCTGCCATCACTCACTCTACACCTCGGAGTCAGAAATGGTGAAACCAAATAGCTTACTTGCAAGTGAAACTACAGTAATGTAAATTTAAGCAGCCCCCTTTGTCTTCTAACTCAAAATTCATCAAGAATCACCTGCTACAATAATCTCAAAATTCATCTGCAACATATGTAAGTACACAGTAAAGAGTATTGTAAACTTTAATTTTGATTTTGGATGCGATTTTTCAGCAAAATAGTGGTCGAAATTACCAGGGGGTGGGGTTGGTTCCACATAAGTCGGACTAGCTTGAGCCCAATATAGTCCGACTCAGGAAAAAATTTAAACAATGAAAAATTATATAAATTAAAACTTCAGTAAATTCAAATTACTGTAACCTGATTCATCCTTACTGGCGACTCCCAAATAATGAATATAATGGGTCCTATCAGTGACAACAGGATTGTGTATGACTTTAATAAACCCCTTTTCAAGTATAATTAGTTTGAAGCTTTGGTGCTTCTGGGCACCATGGCAAATGTACCCAGAACTCTCCGATAGCTGGAACTGAAATTTTCTCGGAAAATCGTTCCCAAAGCCGGAATTTTCCGGAAAATCCTGGAGTTGGGAATGATTTTCCGAGGGGTACATTTTCCGGAAAATTATGAGAAATTTTCCCGATACCTGGAAAATTCTGGAAAAATCCGGAGATGGGGGAGTTTTTTCTGGGTTTGAGAGATGAAAATCAGGCACATTTTCCGGAAATTCCAAGGAACAATTTCCGGTATCCGGAAAATTCTGGGGATGGGGGATATTTTTCCGGGTTCAAGTGATGATGTAATGGGCAATTTCTGAACTTCCGAGAAAATTTTTCCATTTCCTGGAAATTCCAAGGAAGAGGGATTATTTTCCGGCTTTGAGGGAGTCGTCTCGTTACCTGGAAATATTTCATTCCCAGAAGTGATCTGCATCAATTGTTCCGGCTAATGGAGATACGTATCACTGTACTACTAATACTGGCCGTAACTGTTTGGTTATTCCTATCATGTTAAGTTTCCAAAGCCACTCCATCTCCATCCTCAGTACATTGTCATCAGCAGGCGCACGGGGATCAGAAAACAGAAGTTGCCCCTTCCACTGTAATTTCTGACACAACTGCAACATGATATTTAGTGTTTGTGACAAAAACCAATAGGAATTTTGCTGTAAATTTAGGAACCCATTGGAGTCTCCATTAAGTCGATATTATACCGCCTAGATTGATCATTGACAATTCTATCATATTAGTCCAGATCACTTATGTAGTCACTAGTTGCATGTGGGTTAAGTCTAATTTGTATAACCAAATGTAGTCCATCAATATAAACTGATGATAACTGGTCCTCGACACATGTTTGCATCTGGTAAAACCACTTAACTACTTGAACAGTAAAATTAACTACAGTACAGTACTTTAGAGATTAAATTCTGACTCGCCTACAAAGCCCACAACCATTAAATGAATTTTACGCTGTGGCTTTAATTTCATCTCTTCCACCAAACAATGCAATACTTTTTTCCAACCCTTTCCCTTCCCCATTTTCAATTTTGCTGCTGGCAATGCCACAGCTACTTTATCCATGGGTCCTGTTCTTAGTGAACACACAGAGTTGTTAACTTGAGAGAAGTTCCTTGGGCATGGGAATGTATGATGATGATGTTTACTTCCTACAGTCACTGGTCAAACAAGCACTCAATGAACCATGAGATGGTTTACAATAAATTTCACAATGAGAAGTTGCTTTCAACCATTGTCTAAAAACTTTCACAAAAGTATACTGTGTACAATTGGAGTTACAGTAATTTGCATCACAAAAGACACATGGATTTGTAAATGGTCCAGTTACAGTGGAGCCTCTAGGAGATGGTTTAACAGAATTAGTAGTTACTAAACTCTGTTATAGATTTCTGAGGGTTAGATGAAGCCTTAGTCACACTGACCAAAAAAGCTTCAGGGTGATCACTTTGCTATGATGACTGTATAGGTTTAGATGGTTGGACTTTTTGCAGAGTTTCAATCCTTTAAACCATAGTCTTAGGCAGTACTGTGTGTTAGTAAGATGCAAGGTGATCAATTACACTAGACAATGGGGTAATCTTTGCAACATTTGAGTTGAAGAGATTCCATCATTTTCACATGAATCCTTCTTGCCAATATGGCCTTAACACTCTAAGAACTAGCATGTATGTGCACAGTTGCTGACTGTAAACTTATGCAGAGAGCCTCTAATTTGGCTCTAAAAACCATAAGTTCTTGAAGGCTATGTCCAGGATTTCCGAGATTCATAAACTTATTTGCCCATTCCCTAATCGCTCTATCGAAATTCTAATGTTTCTATTAGGAAGTCAGCAGCCAAATAATAGTTATCATTAGTGCATTCGAACCCCTGGATAAGCTTCCTATCTGCTCCATTCAGCTGAGTTTGAAGATAATTCAGCTTGGAAACAGGATCTAAATCTGTCCCTTGTGAACAGCAGCTTGAAATTGATCCTAGAAGGAAGTCCATACACTATATTCACTGTAGGTTGGCAACTGAAGTTGAGGTAATTTAATTATTTTTTGACAGTAAGATTATTATTCATATCAGGCTGTAACATTTGTCTTTGTCTTGTCAAGGGAGGTTTACCTTTAGATATAACTGTACAACATTAGTAACATATACAGTAGCTAGTACAGTATTTGCTCTTTGATGATTTCAGACATTTGTTTTCCTGTACTGAGGAAATAAGTTCCTCAAAGAATACTAAAAGAGTAGCTCTCCTATCCTCTAAACCAACAATTAAGGACTCCAGTTTAGCCATATTATAAGGATGAGATAGTAATATATTCTCCAATTCAGTCCAACAAACGGTAACACTACCTTTGTAACCTGTAATCCTAAGCTTTATAGACATGATTATGAATTAATTATTTAACTACTTAACATTATAGTTACTAATGACATAGAACTAAATTAGGAAAAGATGCAAATTGTGGGACACACACACATGGAAAAACAAAATGGTCTAGTAATACTCAGATCACTTGTATGGAGAATTGAATATTGAATAATTGCAAACTAATTTCTCCGTATCTCATTTTGTCCTTCTAATGATTCAAATTAGCATGTCATGAAATCGATAACACTCTAGGGTGTTTAGCTAACCTGCTAGAATCCAGCTGAAGGCAGGGTTAGGAGAGTCATGGTAGATATATAGATGGAGATTTATATGTCAGTGAGGGATAACTGACCAATCACCAAAAAATATTAACGGATAGGTACAGTACAGTATTACAAATCAAAATTCTTATCCAGTTTGAAGGACCAGCAGTCGGAAATTTAACCCACTTCCCTTGACTAAAATATTAATAAACTGGGAATGACTATTGTTACGAGATCTTTCAAATACAGTACAGTAAACCCTCGAAGATCCGGACCCGGGAAATCCGGATTTCGGAAGATACGGACAAAAAATTTGGGGGTTCTGGGCTAAGAAGCCTTCTAGAAGTTTCCCTAAGAAACATTCCCAAACCAGAGCAAAGAATATTTTAAGCCCATGGGCGCTGCTTGACCCGTCAGTTGCTTGGACACAGGTGCCCGAGGAGGTGGGAAACATAAACAGAGTTGACAATTGTTGGTTGTGGGAATATTATTTCATTCACCCTAGTAATGATGCAATGTTTCATATTTTGTAATCATAGGTAAATGCATGGTTTATATACAGGCAACCCCCGCGTTACGGAAGGGTTCCGTTCCCGGAAAATTGACCGTATTGCGAAATTCCGTAACGCGGAACCTATTTTCCCATTGACTTCCATTATAAAACTGGAGATGCGTTCCTAAGGAATTTTTTTGGCCCCATAAAAGTAATTCAAGCACTTTTATTAATGAAAATAAACATTTATAAATACATACAATACAGTACATTAAATAATTTATGATATACCTTCTTAAAACACCAATTTAGGGGTTAATATTGCATAATATTGCATTATACAGCTATGTGTATGTTTATTTGAGTGCCCCGTCATAGGAGTCCGTTTTCTTTCACTTCAGCACTCCTGAGTCGTCCGTTTTCTCTTAATCTTAAGAGTGCACCAGGGACTATTAATTTTTAGTAGTGACACAGAATTTGATATTGCAACTGGGGTTGCAATTGTTGAGGCAACTTAGGTATGTTTGATTACAGTTGGAATATTCGAGATCCATTGTGAGTGATGTTTAAAGCTTCAACTGTCTTTATGGTTGGTAAAACTTGTCAA